GTAGGACGATACATCAGTTATCTGCTGCAGTTGTTGTCCTGGAGCGGCCACCACCAACCTTTCTAACCTACGGTTTGGAGGCTTTCCAAGTCCACGAAACGACACTTTTGTTGACTACGAAATCTTCAGCCACACGGGTCACACTACGCCCCTCCTCCAGCTTTCCGATCATTCTTCCACTCGTGAAGTCATCCAGATGATTTCTTCTAGCCATATTTCACGAAAGATTTCACTTGCACTTGCAGCGAATGTCTTTAATTGCGACTTCTTCCTTCCTTTTATGGTAGTCTCGAGTGGAGCGCACGCGTTCTGCGTACGATCACGTAAACTGTGATGTTTCTATCCAGACATTTGCATATGCATGACCTTTCTACTGAATCGCGTGTTCATTGTATCGATAGCAAGAACCCCTTTTCTGCAACAGCATAGTTATCTGATTAAAATTTGAATTGTTGCTTAAGTTTTGCACACCAGTGTAGTTAAAAGGTGGGTAATGCTAATAAAATAGTTAAAAGGGTAAGTCTATTTCACATTGAGTAAACGGTTCTCTCGCTAATCTGGCTAGCTTCATCCCTTCCACTGTAATTTCGTTGCTATTTTCTGTAAAGACAGCCTCCAGAAGAATTAGAATCACTTACAACACTTGAACAGGCTGATAAGCAACATCCCCACGGTAATTAGCTGCTCTGTCGGTGAAGTAAGTTGATGCACATATCGAGCATCTATGAAATACTAACAAAACTTAGAGAGATTCTATATTTGTTAATGTGCAATTTATAGAACTCGCTAGTAAGAGGGTGACAGGTTTTGAAGGAATACTTGATAAGGAGATAGGAGACGACGACAGAGAGACAGGGAAAGAAAGAAAAAGAGAATGAGAGAAAGAAGGAAACTCAATAAGAAGGAAAAAGTAAGAAAAAGAAAATAAGAAAAAAGAAGAAAGAGATCTAAAATAATGTAATGGATTTAAGACAACGCCTGGTAAGTTGCAGGATGCTTTAATTATTGTGCTGCTAATATGACGGCAGCAGCTTTGGTGACTAATTTTTGCAGCCAAATTCCTGGTCCAAAATCACTGATACCCGAAGAATTGGAAACTATATTGACTGATATTGAAGCGGTGATAAATTGTCAAAACTTGACTTATATACAAGAATTGAGCCACAAGTTCTCTTACTTGCACATTTTCTGCTGCGACAGGCACTGCCTCGTGTAAACTGTTGAAGTGTGGAAATTCTTTTAAAAACGCATCTATATCGTGAAGAACTATTAGATAGCATTTGGAAAAAAAATCTGTAAACATTACTTGCTGAATCTGAAATCTACTAATTGTGTGACAAATCATCCTGAAAAACAGGATCTGAATGTGAACGATATCATGATAACACATGATGAACTCTTATCACGTAACTTATGGAGATAGGGAACAACAGTTCTGAACAATTTTACTGGTAGCGATGGACTAATTCGCAGTTGTGAACTAGCGATTGAAAAAGGCCTTTACAGTTATTAATTAAGTTAAAGAGACCTTTACAGTTATTAGTTAAGTTAGAATGCTAAAAATACTAATATTGTGTAATAGAAAATTGCTTACTGAATATATAATTTTAATATTTCACATTATTTATATGTACCTTTAATATTTAAAGTTGAAATGCATAATTATATTTAAAATTTAATTTAATTTTGAAAAATGTCAGGTTTTTGTTAATAATTTTAGTATTTTAGTTGCATTAATGAAGTGTTCCTTGTTTAATATTATAGAAATTCTTGATTAAAATTCCTGATGCTTGAACTGAAATGTCATGGGAATAATCCTTGATATAAATTAAAGTTCCTGATTACAAGTATTTGAATTTTTATTGAAATGCGTAATGATTTTTGAAGATTTTTATATATCGATGATAATCTTGATTATTCTGAACTACTGTTCAGCAGGGCCCAATGTGTAAGAAATTTTATAGTCTGAAAATCTATTTTAATTGCCCATACAGGGCGTAAATGCTTCATGCTTCATGTTTTTATTTTTTGGATATGGCAACGCCAGTAAATAATATTCATGATGAAACTGAATAAACCCTGAAGCTTGAAACCTGATATGTATATTCTTTGTCTTTTAATTATGCTCTATTTCGAATTAAAAATAATATTTCTTGAACGCGGATCGCATGGAACTTTTAGATTTACCATTTATTATTATAATTGTAACGTATTGTTATATTTATATACTTGCACAAGTGTACCAGAGTTTTGATATCGCAGAAGTATACACCATTTTTAAGTGCTTATCTAATGAATTATATCACATACCACACAGTATTATTTTGTTTGTACAAGTGTAATAGTTTATTGACATGTACCTATTTTCAAATGATTGCATGAGCATGTTTGTAGCAGTACTGTACTCCAAGAACCCCGAAAAACACAACTCTGTTTTTAAACCAAACGAACAACACATGCACTAGCCCCTTTAAATTAAGAGTTGGAACAATTAAAATAGGATGCTTTTAGCCTCATGGCTAACTTCATCCCTCTCACTGTACTTTCGTTGCTGTTTTCTGTAAAGGCAGCCTCCAGAACACATGTGTTCGGATTGTAAACGAAATTAGAATCACTGACAGGACTTGAACAGGCTGATAAGAAACATTCCCAAGGGAATAAGCTTCTCTGTCGGTGGTGTAAAGTGGTTCTCATATCGAGTACCTATGAGATACATACAAAATTTACAGAGATTCTATATTTACTAATGGGCAATTTATAGACGTCCCTAGTAAGACGGTGACGTGTTTTGATGGAATACTTGATTAGAAGATAGGAGATGACGACAGACAGACAGGGAAACAAAGAAAAAGAGAGCAAGAGAAAAAAAGAAACTCATTAAGAAAGAAAAAGTAAGGAAAAGCGAATAAGAGGAAAAAGAAAGAGGTGTAGGGTAATGCAATAGATTTAAGACAATTCTTGATAAGTCGCAGAATGCTTTCATTATTGCGCTGCTAATTCTGTAATAAGTTAATAAGTATTTGGAGTAGATTTATCATTTCATACTAAACTTTAAAACACATTTAAATGCAAGATTTCACATCACTTTTAAATGTAGTTTACTCCGCTTGATGAAAGCACAATGTATCTGTGAAACCTTTCTTTCGTAAGCGTAAATGACGCCAAGTAAAGATGTGGTTACCACTAATTTAAATGTAAAGTATTTTTAAGCTACAAATAAACAATCTATCAAATTAGACGAAATAACTCAAAAATTATACTACTAACGCATAACAAATGCATGAATGAAGTCATAAATACACAGACTATAAAAAGGATTTAATATACGCACAATTTAAATTCTACCAATGCGGTAGAATGTCCAATGCGGTTTTGAGAAAATAGTCAGCACATAATGCGTGCGAAACGCCTGATGTTCTGGAAGATTTAGTTGTCTTAGACTACACTGATAACAGGCAAAAAGACACCGATGTATAATAAGAAATGATGTAGTTATTTATTTAACATCTTAAAATCAGTTAAATTAAGAATTTTAGTTTTATTAATTAGTTTATTATCTTATGTTTTGACTTATACTTTTAGTTCTACTTTTCATTAGCTTTCACCAGGACGTAAATTATAGTATATAAAAACAGAATTCTTGGATGTTTGAAAGAGAAAGAGAGAGAGAGAGAGCTTTGGCAGTGACACTAACTTTTGTACTATTTCCTCGCTCAATTCTTGATTACGTTATTCGCCATTAGCTTTTCACCAGCTCAGTTACTCGTGTAATTAGACTAAAATTGAGCTAATGCTTGTTAAGTTGGGCATTTGTAAATCTCCAGCATCAAATTACTTTGCATTTTAACTAACGTTGTATGTTAGCTGAATTCCACAAACTACGGAGTTGACTTTTGTAAGCACAAGTCGTATATTTGTCAATATTTGTCAAGGTTACAGTTTAAAATAAAAAGGTTTGCTTAAACCTTCCCTTCTTAATTAAAAAAAAAAAAAAAAAATCTGAAATGTTTCAGATTTTAAATTACGTCCAAAGGTGCGTTTTTTAACATTTTGTGTGTTACCTTTCTTTATTAAATATCACGTTCCTCGCACTTAAACCATAAGATCCAGTGCAACAGCAATATCGCAAAATAGTTTTAAAACGAGCATATCTTTAGAATTTCCGATACAGAGACTCACGCGCTGGAGATAAAAATGATTTTTCTGCACAACGTTGCCATTGCTCGCTTTGAAATCCTTGAATTTGTTAATCAAAAATTCGTCAAAGTTTTAAAAAATAGGAAATCGATCATAAAACAAATTTCAAATTTCAAATTTGGTCTTCCACATGCTCATATTCGTTGGAGGATTACGTTATTCAAAATTCGATGACTCTATGTACCGTTATTTTATGACAATGTGAGAAATATACATACATTTACGCAGATTTTCATTATTTAATTTCTTCAAATATAATGCAGGACTCTAACATTTTATGGCAACAGTTTGAAAAGTGAACCGACATTTATCCGTCCGACGCAAAATGCCAAAACGAAACTAATAGTCCTTCTGGATTCAAATCCCTTTGGACTAAAAAAAAAAAAAAAAGTTACTTTTATAAAGGCGGCGATAAGTTACCTGATAGCCTTAGTAGGGATCAAATCAAGCTATATAAAGGATGAAATCTTAAAAGTCTTCTAGGTTGAATGCATCACTAACATCTAAGCTTTCTTCTAATGTCGATTCAACGGACAGGATTTTTTTTATGTATTTAATAATAGATTGCAAGTGTAGAAAATATTATATTTTAAATTAATTAACAAAAATTGTTGCTGTATTTATTTTTTCATTATTGTCGTGTGAAATATCATGAGGCGCCAGCTGTATTGATTACTATGGGCGCCGAAAATGCTGCACTAAGAACCGAGTTTGAGTGTGAATATTAAGTTGAAATTCTCGAGGACTTTTATACGCTATAGAAACGATAGAAAACGTGTTAAATAACATAATAAAGTAATAAAAGAAAATTTTATTGCTAATCTATATTATTTCTTAGGAAATATTTGGCGAATATCTTATAGACCACTAAATATTAAGCTATTTTCATTTATTCTGATTCAAGTTCAATGCATCTTTGCCTTCTGTAATATTTACGATCAAATCTCTGTCTTGGCGGATCAAAAAATGCATTCCTATCGGGACTTTCATCTTTTTGTTCTAAGACTTCAATAAGGTACCTGAAAGTTAAAAACATTCGAAATAAGGAAACGGAAATACTTAAATCTCCAATATAAATGATCTAATATAAAAATCTATAATATCTCTAACAAAAAAATTCTATGATATGTAAATTAAATATTGGTATTTACAAGAAATGGCAATCTTGCTCCATACTTTCCAGACTTCACGTCTGAAAGCTGAAATACTGAGTCATTTAAATTTTGGCCGAAAAGTGCTTCGTCACTTTTGTTTCGTTCAAAAATTCTAGGAAGTTTTTCTTATTGTTTTAATTTTGATTTATGAATACGTTTCTCTCTTTCTCCAACTTTATATTGAAGGCTTGAGTGGAATTTCAAAGTTTTTGATATTTTACTACAAAATTTGTTTTATAGGCTTCTAGCCACTTGGCAAAATACGTTAGATAAAAATTTTACGGAGTTTAAGTTTTACATTTAAACTGACCTCTGTAAATATTTCTAATTTGTATTTTATCATTGTTTTAATTTTAATTTTTTTAAAATGTGCTGCATTATTTGTTTTGCTGCAGAGACTGAAATCCTGTCGGGCTAATCGATCGAATTTCTTCTTTTCCATAAAATTTTCCTTTCAATTTATGTTTTACTTTGTTACGAAATTTAATATTTTCTCTTCTTTAAATTCAATTTAGGGAACTTTTACACGATGGTATAATTTTGTTCTTCTAATTTATAAATTTTTTGTTTTATTAAAGAAAACTGTTGATTTTAATTTAGCAATAGTCTTTTTAATTTAGTTAGTTCTCCTGTTTGTTCTACATTTTTTATAATAATTTTTATAGACTACGTCTTTCCAAATTCATTCGTTACTTAATTTTACTAAATATAATTATGAAAAACTAAATCTTTTTATACCATAAAATTTTAATCATTTTCAAAAACAGTGTTAAATTTCTAAAATACGATTAAAAATATTACATATTTAATATTTCAAAATAATAAAAATGATTGGCAATTTCTATATGCTTATAGGATATAGTGTATATAAGGAAATAAAGAATAAAGGCATAAAGAAAACTACAAATTTTAATTTAGAAATAGTTTCCTTTTAACTCCTTATTTTAATTTGGTTTATCTTCCCCTTTCTATTCTAAATTGTTTGCAATAATTTTTATGAACTTCGTCTATCAAAATTAATTCGTCCATACTCATTCATTTCTGTAATCCTCTTACATTGCGGATGGCTTTCATTCAATCCCAGAGCTCGAAATTTAAACAAAGGAACCAAGTCTTTAAATATCACTGCTACTAATGCGCAGCCTCTTTTTTTTACTTCGCCTTGCTGCTAGCCGTGTACAGCTGTCTTTCCGCTTCTCCTTTGTCTAAGAATATTCAAGATGTACAAAAAACTGTGCGGTGCATCACTCACCCATAAATGAAACTATGTGAATCTGTTTATGCCTATGAAGCAATATGAGGTGACGAAGGAAAAAATAATTTCATCAAGTTTTTTCTTATCAAGTCACATAGTGATGTAAAATGTGCTGATATCACACGCAGAATGTTTCATGGGAACCTTAGATTTCCATTACAGTTTACATAGTTCATTAGTTATTAGTACTAAATCATATGAAGTTTAAAAAATATTCAAATTATGGGCTAAAAAACGGTACTAAACGTTATGTACACTAGTAGTCTCACAACGTACGGTACGTACGTCAATTATAGTCTCACAACATAAGGTGTCCTTCATATTTTAACGAGCAATAAAAAATTTGCAAGGCAACATTAAATAACCTTTGTATTTAAATATGACTGAATGAAGAACAAATAAATAATTTAATAAAAATGAAAGCATTCGGAAAATTAAATTTGGTTTTAAAAATATTCATCCTCGTTTTACTTCCTTGTTCGAAATAAAAAGTAATCGCGAAAAATTTCGGGTATCATATTTCAATTAAAATATTTTTGACCGCTATCGTATGCAGTTTTAAATTTTTACCTTGAAATCTTGCCTAAATCAAACGGCGAAACCTAGGTGTGCCCAGACTGGGTTCACCGATAATCTAGGACAACTGAGAGTCTGTATTCTTTGTTTCTCCGCATCTCATCGGTCAGTTCATTGACAACAATGCTCGTTTCAGCATTTCGAAGCTCTATTCAATCAGTGTGTCACTTTGGGCACACACACAGAATTAAAACGATAAGTGCTATCTTCAGAAAATTTTACTTGTGTACTCCTCTAGGCCTAATTAGACTGCCTACCTTTTTTTTTTTTTTTTTAATCAAAACTTCGACTTTAAAAGGTAGTGTGCCAGAAAGGGTTAACGATGTTTTTGCTTGACATCTGTACCTAAGGACAGAATAAAAAACGACTCTTTCCCCCCCCCCAAAATTATAAAACTGATTTAAAATGAATTCTGAAAAGGTTTTTTTCGCGGCGTCTGTACGTACGTATGTATCTCGCGTAACTCAAAAAATGTGTAGCCTCAGAATGTTGAAATTTCGTATATAGGACTCCTATAATATGTAGATGTGCACCTCCCATTTGGTTGAACGCACCAAAAGTATATAAATAATATGTATAAATATATCCGCTCTGCTACTCGGCTCAGTGAGCTCAGTTTCTTTATTCTTATATGTTTGTAAATTGTGCATTTTTTGCTTTAAAAATGATTGAATTATGTTGTTCTTATCTTCTGGTTAAGGTTTTTATGCCTTTAGTTAACCTGAAGGAGATAATTGTGGAATTATCAACAATTTAAAAAGTTTTTTTGAAGTGAACTATGCCTAAATTATGTTTAGCATGGCAGCCATATTTGTTTACATTTGAAATTTAGCAGAGTAGGGGATTTCTTGCCAATCTAGAGAAACTAAGCTTCACAACAACAAAGTAATGTCTTCTTCTTTTATTGCGTATTACATTATGCTTAATTCATTCTGGAATTATCATTTAAGTTATTAGCTTGTTTTTGCGTAGAAACTGTAATTTTAATAGTAAAAATTGTTTTTTTAATCATTTTAACTATTCTTGGCGTTTTATGTTTTTCTGTATTTTTCAATTTTTAATGAAAATATTTTGAATTTTTATGTATTTTTGCCTCGCCGCGAATTGAGAACTGAATTACTTAGTAGCGCATGCTCATTCAGCGCCGCTGTGAAAAACTGTTTCTCTATGTTTGAAAAACTGTTTCATTATGTGAAAAACTGTTTCATTATGTGAAAAACTGTTTCTTAATGTTTGAAAAACTGTTTCTTTATGTTTGGAAAACTGTTTCATTATGTGAAAAACTTCGTATGTGAAAAACTGTTTCTTTATGTGAAAATGTTTAATTTCTTTTAAACATCGTTTTAGATTTATTATAATATTTGAATAGAACATGTGGTGATTCTTCACATGATATAATTTTTGTTGACTCTGAGTTATAAAATGAATGAGATGTAACACTGTTAAGTGAACCTAGCGTCGAAGTGTCGCTATAGTAAATAAATATAGTGAACTTTAAATAGTGCATTTATTCTATTGTGGTTTATACGTTATGGACGAAGTAGACTTAATTCAAAATTCGTTAACTTTTAATTCAATATGTTTAAATGAAATGCAGTAAAATTGCGTATAATTTAATATTCCGTACAAGGAAGTCATGTGGTGTAGACATCAGATTTTTAACGAAAGAACGCAGGAAAAGATTGTTTCATATTTATTTGGCACGTCTTTTTTTGCCGGCAGATGTACCATGCAGGATTCCAAGCAGGATTACTTTGTTAGTTTTAAAGTATTAGATGTTTAGGATATTCACATGCAATGCTTTAGTTGCAGTTTACATTTCTTAACTCGCATTGATTCGCGGAGAAATATTATATGCAGATAAAGACAGTTATATTAAACGTTACATAACATTTCAGAAAAACATTTGAAAAAATTATTAGTTAGTTGACACGAAGAAATCTATTTTTTGTGATTTTTTTTAAATATCAGTGTAAGAAAGACCTTAAGGAAGAAAACCGGATCTAAAGAAACTTTTACAAACAAGAGCGGCCTATAGTGAGTTGAACAAAGGCTATCATGTCAAATTAAAAGCGAATTCCAAATTCCTTTCTTAAAAACTGTTTCCTGGTGATTTCGATGTGACTAAAAAAATGACATGAATTCTTTAAATCAGTCTCAAAATCACATTCTTAAAAACGTATGTATTGGGGCTTTAATCAGTGGGCTATGATAAATTTAGGGCTGGAACATGCACTTAAGAGGATAAAATGGGTTGAAATGGTTAGGAGGTTGAATGGTTAGGCCTAACGGCTAGTCTTATCAGACCTAAGGATTGGATTATTGGATTGGATTATTCAATTATCAGACCTAAGGAATTTAAGGAAAGGACCTAAGGAATCTAAGGCATATTAAAGAAAATACAGAATAGGAAATCAGAACAGTTCTGGCAGCAAGAAAAATCTTTAGCATCTCCAGTGACTCAATGTAGCTTTTAGAAATTAATCAAAATGTAAAATATTTTTTATTAACACAAAATTTCAAACTCAGCTTACATATCTTAAATACACGAGTTAAATTGATTTAAAATGGCAATGTTTCAATAATTAGGTCTTAAACAGCTCCAAAAATTTCAGCTCAGCTCCTCAACAATTTTACTTATAAGAATTCAAGATTTTAAATCACTTTTGACTTAATCAATTCCTTTCTTTTCCTGTTTTTATTAAAAAGAAGGCATGCTTTTCTGCAGTACTAGTTTAGAAACAACTAATTTATGAAAGAATAGCATTAACAAAAGATGATTATGTCAAAACATAGAAAAGTTTAAAAAATATGAGACAATAAATCCTGCTGACAATAACTCTCCATTAATAAGAAAGAGAAAGAATGCTTTGAATATTAACATTGATTCGAAATATAGAAATACATGGCATAAAAATCTGCATATATTAAGGAAATTCAATCTATTAATTTAATGGAGGAATATTTTTAAAGTTTTAAAAGAATTTTGCTTTAAATTTTGTTTAATTTTCCTTCTGTATTTCGTTTCGTTTTCAGGCATTGAATAACGAGTAAGTGGTGTATTATTTATTTGCTCTGTTGAAACGAAATCTTATTGTAGACATATTTACCATGAATTTCTTAATCTGTGATAAACTGAAAGGTGCATTGGTCAGATTATATAAACAGATATGCTAACGATATTCATGTCACGTCGTCTAGATCACATTCACAAATTTTTAACTTTGAGTGTACAAAACCCTTTGGCAACTTATGAACCTCACTAGATAATAGTAATCTGACTATGCCACTGAGCTATTAAAGAAATCCTAATGAATTTATATTCCAGTTGGAGACCATTCTTAATAATGCATTTTTATTAATGAAGAATATGAACGTTAGGAATTCTACATCATTATAGTTGATCACGATACGTTTCATTTCATATATCAAAAAAGTGCAACGAGGGCAACTTGGCAAATTAAGTACCTAGAGTATTAATAACACCCAGGTCATATTTTCAAGATTAAAATTCTGAGTTTCATCTTTAAAGCAAATATCCTAAACCAGTTATTAGCTTCAGTAGATCAGGTGGTGAAAAAAGCTTGAATCAAGAAAGTACTGGGTTTAAATGGCGAAACGCTAAATATTAACAATTTATTTTTACTATTTTAATTAATTTCTTAATTTTCTTAAAGACATTTTTTAGCGTAAAATGTAATATATAATGATAATATAATTATAATGATAATTATCATAAATATAATTATTATGATAATTATCATAAATATAATTATAATGATAATTATCATTTGTTTGTTCAGATTTATTTAGGCTCGTAGCTGAAATTCAGTTTTTAATCAAGTTCCGATTTTCTTTAGATTTAAATTAGTTTAATTTAAAGTTATATTTTACAGAAAAATAAAGAAATGAAGAAAGAAAAACAAATACTTTGTTCCATAAAACATCCAAGCAATGCCCCTTCCCGTGATTATGACGTCATACAGGAAACGGAAACCAATTACAGCATAACTCAAGAGTACAATAATGGCCAATATTAGACTTGTTGGGAAAATCTTGGACAGCAGATAAGATAAAACCTATAAATGCAAGACAAGAAATCAACTCGAGTTTTGTTAAAAATTGCACGTCTTATTTCAAAATAGCACTTTTTTTATGCGCATGCTCGAAAATTAATAAAAATTTTGAAATGTAGAAAATATTGTATTGCACTCTTTAAGTGCACATTTGACAGAGCCAAAATGAGACTTCTAGCTTACTTAGAAGGACGTGATGATCGTCACTGATGTACACCAAAGCGCGTGTTGTGTGTTTTATCAGGTTGACAGCTTCGTATGATGAAATATGTATACGTAATAGCACGGTGAGATTACGGGAAGGAAGTATGAAACAATGAACCTATGAAAGATTTGAACTTACTAGTTGATTGGAAGTTCAAAATCAGACGGCATTTTCTAAAAAGAATTCTCCCGATCTATAAGTCTATAATATCTTTATAATGCAAAACTGCCAGATGGTACAGGCAAAGTAAAATAAAATATTTTTCTAGAGATTTTTTTAAGCTACACAAGAATTGAAGTTGTTAGGTATGCCGTATACATACATTTGTGGCTCTGAGCCACAGGCGTGCAAGATACATTTCGTTAATTACAGCCCATAAAACAGCATGCGCAGTTTTGTGCAGAAAATATCCGTTTGGAGATAATTATTTCTAATCAAAAACGGAGTTCTGAAGGTGAACCAACACTGAGCGATGCATTTGTTTATTTTGGCATTCTGGCCGGATCCATTAATTTTTTTTTCTCGCTTTATGATTGTTTAATTTAGAATCCTTCACACCTAAAACACTTTCAATATTATTATTAATTTTTTAGCACCGCCTGTTTTAAAAACTTATTCGTTTTAAAATATGATATTTTAACATAATTATATGACTAAATTTTATTTCGAAGTTGTTAAAAGATATTTAGTGGCAGCCACGTACCCTCACACAAGCTTGTTCGATATAATATATTAAAAAAAAATCTGAAAGCCTTCAGATTTTACATTACGTCTAAAGGTTTTTTTAACGTTTTGTGTGCTACCTTCAACAGAAATATCGCAAAATAATTTTAAAATGAACAAAGCTTTAGAATTTCTGATACAGTCTCGCGCTCTGGAAATGAAAATGATTTTTCCGTACGTTGTTGCCATTGCTCGCTTTGAAATAATTAAGTTTTTTAATCAAAAATTCGTTAACGTTTTACAAAATATGAAATAGATAATAAAACAAATTCGAAATTCCAAATTTGGGCTTCCAGTTGCCCATATTCGGGTGGAAACGTTCAATATTCAAAATCACAATGCGATAAACATACATACATTTATGCAGATTCTTCATTATTTAATTTAATTAAATATAACACGGAGCTCTAATATTTGGCGGCAACAATTTGAAAAGTGAACCGACATTTATAGTGAACCAATGCAAAATGCCGAAACGAAATTAATAGTCTTTCTGGGCAAACTGTCCCATTGGACTAATAAAATTTCTTTCTACGCAAAATACAACACTTAACTTATTGACAAAAATAAATGTTCTGTGTTCGCTCAGCTGAACAGTTTAAAATAAGTTACAGATAAGCATTTAAAGAAATAGAGTAAACAAGGAAGGATTTTGCTATTTACCATCTTAATATTAAAGGTAGCAAATAACTTGTTAAAAAAAAGAATCCAGAGTGCTTTTGACTGTTTTTTTATTTTTGGCACGTCTACAAATAAAGATATATTTCCTAGCGCAGATAAATGTTTACAGTTTACCGGATCAAATTCACTTAGCAAATGGTCATCCCTTCAGAATAAAATTCTGTGAGTGATAGCAGCGATGCTTTTCGTTATGCGAATTATAGTATTACACATACACGGAAGATTAAATAATATAGCTATATGATAGGTTTGCTTATAAATCAAACAATGTTACCAATTTCATAAACGAAGATTTCATAAACGCGATGGAAGATTATCACACTTTTTTCCCTCTCTCTCTCTATATATAAGGATACACACACATAATATAAGCTAAAAATAACTATTTTTTTAAGTTGTTTTGTTGCTGTAGAAATGAACCTTGAGTACCATATTTATTTGGAAACAGTGATTTTGGCGAGGACGTGACATCGAGATTAGTGTGATCACCATTCTGTTCGGATAAAATTGGGAGAAAAAAGGTGCCAGTCAGTGGCATGAAATGTTTTCTTTGAGACATCTCTGACTTACTGTTATGGATTATCATTGCAAACATTACTTCATACAAATGAAATAGCTTGTTGCAGCGTTTATTTAATTATAAATATTTTATGATTTTCAAGTTTTTAAATTGCTTGGATTTATTTTAAAGGAACTTTTGCTTTATGACTCTGAGTGTATTTCACTCAAAAATATTATTTGTATTAGACTTACAAGAATCAATTGATTGAAAATTATGAAATTACAATTTTGTTTTATGTTTACTTATAAATCATGAGGAAAGAAAAGCAACCTTCATTACCAAATTTCTTAGAGCTCAGAATTCCTATTATGTGAAATTCATATATACAGGAAAATACTCCTAAGTTCAAAAAACATCCACTGAAATGTTTTCAAATTAGTTCCAATTGAAATATCGAAATTATTACGAAATGCACTCTCGAAAGACCATTCACTGGAACATACACACTTATTCCAATATTCTGACATTCCTGGAAACATTGGTATAGTTCGACCGCCTCATCTGCGACCATGAGCGCAAACACGCATGCGCCATTCGGACCGAATTATTCTCAAAATAGGGTGGAAGGAGGGGGACTTTCTTTTCCTCCAGTATAGTTCTTTTCGGAGAGCGTAATGGCAAACCGCACATTGAGTTGATCAATGTTAACGAATTCCGTTTAATGCGCATGCTCAGTGGTGTACCGTTGGCGTGGCAGGAAATACTGGCGACTATGCATAAGCAACCATTACACAAGCCTGTTCATCATGTAGGTCTTATCGACTATTTACAACACTACCGAAATTTATTTGTGCTTAATGCATTTGCTTCTGTTTCATTTCATTTCAGTTTATTTTGTTCATAAACGTTATATTTAATATCAGTTAGTTATAATAATTTCCTTGACTTTAATTCAGTAATTTAAACTGGATTTATTCTTTAATTTGCTAAAGTATATACACGAATGGAACATATAGTTATTTACCATACGCAATTGCTTTTATTCCTCACAAGTATATTCAGTAAAGATTTAGCTAATATATCCTGTAATGTTTCATTCTTAAACAAAAATGTTAATCATTCTTAAACAAAAATTTCAGTAGTTTACAATCGATAATTACCCTCTAAGTAATAAAGAAACTTACAACCTAACAAGTTTTAAACCCCGAACTGTTTATCCCAGATAACAGAATATCAACCACATACTGTATTTATGTTCTTTTAAAATTGTACCAAAGTCGTAATTACGCCAAATTCTCTTCTGGGCATGCGCAGTATGCGCAATTCGTTTACCATTGATCAACTGGATGTGCAGTTTGCCATTACGCTTCCGGAGAACAGAAGACCTTTCACGTCGCAGCAAGTAATACCGGTCCTTTTGGACGAGTCTATGAGTTTTGGCAGAATGCCAACCAAGGTTGCGCTATAGACGGATAATTGCTTCGTACCTGTTCATAACTGACCGTCGCTTCTTGTTGGATAGCTTGAATTGTCTGAAAAAATTCACTTCGTAGAACCAGCTTGATAGAAAGTAATATAGTGTTTAAGGGGAAGAAATGTGACAAATAATATCATTGGAGGATGACACAAACCTATTTCTGATCAAGAAAACTTAAGTATCTTTCCTCTAATAGCCTAAATTCAAAATGTAATATCTCGCCGGATGGTTGTATGTTAAACAGACAACACAAACTAAGCTATCATGGTGTCGGTGTCGGTGTATTTAATTATGGCAAAGCACACTAGGGCTATCTGCCTAAGAGGAGGGATGCCTTTCGTGGAGGACTTTCTAAGGGAAACTGGCTCGTATACACGTTACACATGGGGAAAACCACGAAAACACCCATGCAGCCAGCCCGTTCGCGGGATTCGAACCTCGGACCGAACTACCAGTGTTCAGCGACTTTACCGCTCGGCCGCTGGTGGGCAAGCTATCATGGACAATGTCATTTCACATATACCTTGAGTAACATGCAACAGTGGAATAGAAAGAAAATTCAATCAGAGAAAAATTATCTATAACAATAGGAGGAAAATACAAGAATAATAGAAAGTTGATGATGATACTCTAAAATGAAATAACGAATTAAAAATGAAAAGTTATGCACGAGAAGAAACTATTTTATATTACTGGGAAAAATTATTTTTGCATTTGATTTCTTGTACTTTACCTTACCCTTCTCCCAAAAGGAATGCAAGAATGCTTTTTAATTCTTAGGAGTTAATCATACTTTATGCCAACATATTACGAAATTCACATTTGAAACATCGAAATCTGTATTTATCAGATCATCCAAGTTGTGTAAAATCATAACGAAACTTGTGTTTTGCTACGATGTTGAACACGTGGACCGTAAAATTGAATCACATAAACATATGTTATTCTACCAAAGGAGTTTCTTTTAATTATTTTTGATCATATACGGAATGCCTCTTGAACCCTACTATATTATCGAAACCTATGCATTTCTAATTAACTCTTTCTGAAGGATGAAGTTACCCATCGTTAAAGTTTGAAACTCTCTTTTATAATAGCCTTCTGAACTTCCACAAAAACTGTATTAAAATCGAATACTGTATTTAAGACATAAAAAGATTTCATCATCTGCTTGTAACGGCATAGCTAGGAAAAAAAATATATTTATTTTTGGTTCGTTATCATTACCGACTCATGTTTTTCAGTATTTTTCTACAAGCTTCTACAATGAAATAAGAGTATTATACTTCTAAAAAAGTAGTGTTGAGCACTTGGAAACATTTAACAATTGCATTTTATTTTTACATATACTTAATTATTTATTTTAAGCCCATTTAGAAACTTGTTTTATTTATTTATTATATTTTTTGTGCTTT